ACTTTTAGGGAGCAGCCTGCCCCTGGGGATGCAAATAACTTGTGGACCGGCGGACGATTTTGGTTTCCTCCTGGTAAGCATTAAGCGATCGAGCCGACTTGACGAGAAACGAAGGTCGGCACATCAACCCGTTAACGTGGACGTAGTATCAGGATGCTCTGTACTTTCCAACAAAGCTGTGTGACCATTATAAAACGTCAACCTCATTTACGACACCAGTTGGTGCTTGCACCAACAAGAATCGTCGAATGCTAGCGTGAGTCGGGAAATCAAGATGATCTGGAAATTCGATCGACTTGCTCAAACCAGCACATCCTGCTTAGCTGCGGTTGTCGTTCCTCTCGACAGTTAAAGTTGTCCTTTTATGTGTTTACCTCTGAAACCGGGGCACTGATTATCAGGAGCGGAGAGGCTTCCATTTTGAAGACATTAGTGTGAAGACAGAGTCGGGATCACTCAAATGGTATTCACCGACCGCATCTACTCAGCCAACTGGGTTGAAGTAACTTTACGGAGAGAGTACTGTAGGCCGTGCTAAGGCAGGCGCTTTTGTTTATCTACCTGTAAGGGAAGCATGCCATCATCCGCACGATGAGTGATACATTACGGACGAAACTATGGACCCGATCTATGCTGAAAAGCCAAGAAACACAGTGAAACTGTTTCATCCTCAGCAGCGCGCATCTCAAGAAACTCAAGAGGCTTTCGAACCGGCAACCTTCTGACCAGTGGTCGAACATCGAACCGCTTGTCCAGGAGTAGCTGATCAGCAGCATGATTGGTTCTCACTAAGACAGGACACAGCGACACTAATCCTTCAACAACGCAAACATCACGTGACCATTTACTGAAGAGTTTTCAGCAACCTCGTGAGTAGTTTCCTTTATGAAAATAGACTGCGATATCTCGAATATCGTTCCAACTGAAACATGCAGCACATTCAGGTGTGGAATATTTCAAAAGAGAGATTCAGTCGAGTCTCTCATGAAAACCAAATTGATTTGCAAATGAGTGTATTTCTCTATTTACTGACTCACTCCTAGAGGCACGACTGCTCATCCCGACTAAATGAGAGTAAATCATCCTGGTGTTCGGGCACTAGAGGCCGAAAGGTCAAGCGTTCGGTTACTGGTCGAAAGGCCACGGGTTCGAAACTCCTGGAGTTTGGTGAGATGCGCACTGCCGATGATTCCCAGTAGACAGCTGTGCAGCACCTCTCGGCTTCTTAGCAAAGATTGACCTCACTGATAGGACGAAATCTTCATAGCAAATTCTCCTAAAACTACTATCAAACAGATCGTGGATGTGGTGAAAATCAAATCAATCAACACAAGTTCGATCGATTGGAGAGTTCATTTCTCGAGAGTAGTTATGAGCGTAAGTCGCTTTGGGGAAGGGTCATTATAGACCTGTGTTCGGCCAACCCGCTCACCTGACTGCACAAACCCAGGCGTTGTGTCAACACTGGTTTATTTCGGAACTCAAAAAGAAGGATAACGGGTCAGCTTGAGGCACGTTTGTGGGGGGTAGAGGAGTGCACAGCTTTTGTGTTTCCACATCGACTGGAATCGGTTGACAAATAAGATACTGGAAAGATGGGGGGGGGGCTCCTCGACTGATTCGTTAGGGCGTGGCGCAAAAGCTGCAGGAGGTGCAATCGGACAGGTTGGCTCGCGGCAGGTGTGACCAGAGCAGATTTCTGCAACTGGACCGGGTGGGGTGAGAGTGGCAAAATACGAGAGAATCGAGACACTGGGTGGTTAGCAAAACAAAACAAAATGACTGAACAGCCTGGAAGAGGAATGATCAACAAGGAAGGTGTCGATCACCCTGCAAGCCGATCACCGATCGATGGGGATGAAAGGCACGCGGGTCGCACTGAGGCAGGTTTCTAAAATAGCGCGTGAAAGACAAGCGATAGGCAGCGGGCTAAGATGTATTTGTTCCCGTTTTCTTGAGTCACGCTCAAGATGAATATCTCGAGTATGGGGAAAAGTGACAAGGATGACGGGGAGAAAAAAAGACGGGGGACACCAAAGGTTGTAGGACAGTATCCAATTATGCAAATGAGATAATTTGTGAAATTTTGCTAATGTAACCATGGATTGAAGGGAGACATAAATCAGGAGGATAACCACGAATCAGATGGAGGGAGAGAGAAAAAACGAGATAGAAAACGAGAAAGAAAGGCAAGAAACATAAAAAAAAATACCACGACGCTGAAGATTTCTCGTAATTTGGTACCAATCTCAGATGAGTGGAACGGGAACGAATGAATTGAACAGTTTTTGAGAATACAAGGTGTGGGTAGAGATCAGAGAAGACTTCAAAAATGAAAAAAAAACAAAACGAGGACCTTTGGATCACGAATCACAAGAGTGACGAGGTTTGGCGAAGAGGAGGGTGATAAAAACTGAAGGTGCCTAGCAAAAGAACAAAAATCCGTTAGTAGTGTGGGGGGGGGGGGACTGCAAATCAGGAATGTGGTAATAAGAGAAAAACAACAGTTTGATGGACGACGCCCGCATAGCACTAATCCGCATCGTATGATGATCAAAACACACAGCGGGGGAGGGGTGACGAAAAACCACGGGCAATTAAAAATGACATGATAGTTATGGGGACAGAACAGAAAAAAACACGAGATGAATGGGTTGCATCTGAAAAAAAAGTGCGCACAATTAATCAGGGAAACATCAGAGGAGAGATATAGGCATCACACGAAAAAGTACACTCGAGGTCGATACGATTCGGTAATGTTTCTAGGTGTGTGATGTAAACCTAACCCAGATTTCCCACACGGTTGCCGAGGTACCAGTGTGTTAAGCAATCAATAATAACCGTTCGACTGTGAGACCCTTCCGGTGCCTAGCTGCCATGCCACTCGAAGCAAGCACGACGGATAGGATACTGCCAGGGGAAGTCGAGAGGTAGAGGTCGGGTTCGAACCACGGACCTTCCGGTCAGTGAATTCGCGCTCTAACCACTTGAGCGCAGTTCATCTCAGTTTAGCTAGTGAATGGACACAGATCAAGGTCAGAGCTGAAAGTTCCAACGAATTGTAAGTCGGTTGTATTCCTATCGATGAGTTTTACCAGTACGACTACTCACAATACTGTTGCATTCAAGATGTCTTGGACGGAGGTCTACTGCAGAGAGGCTTTAACCCTAATTAAAAAAACTGGGAGTCCGAGAGACATGTTTCCTAGATGGATGTCTCCCGTAAAAATGAAGTACTGCGCCTGATTTTCAAGTTCATACCATTTTGACAACTCCCAATAAGAGTTCGAGGACCACGTGACAAACAACAACGTCTATCTGGTATATGCTCTTGCCAGACCTAGTCATCTGGCTCGATCGCGTTGCAGAGCCGAATGCACTTATACCCCGTTGAGGTACCCTATCCGGAAGGGGGCGAGATGGCTCAGTGGTGAGAGCGCGAATTCACTGATCAGAAGGTCCGTGGTTCGAACCCTCTACCTCCACCTTTCGACTTCCCTGGCAGTATCTCATCCGTCGTGCTTCCTTCGGGTGGCATGGCAGCTGTGGCACCGAAAAGGTGCCACAGCTGAACGATTATTTAAGATTACTCTATCCATTCCCGTTTACAACAACATTCCGTCCGTCAGACACACAGCGAAAAATGCGAATTCTCTGTGCTAGTTGAATCTCTCGGTAACCGTTCGAAGCTTTCGGAAAAAGAGCCTATGAGCATACGAGAGGTGGCAGTTTACCCCATGAGCTTGATCCAAATTCATGCGTTAGAAATTTGAGAACCGAGGACAGAACATCATGGGGGAAAAGCACTACCGAACACATCAATACCGTGGTGTAGACGTGACACACTATTTCATAGGGTTGCTGAAAACTCTTCAACAGCCCACGACCGGTTTCACCCTTCTTAAGGCTCATTAGTCCGTGAGTTTGTCAACCTTATGCTCTATTCGAACATCTTAAAAACATCACTAGCAAGAGATCCAGGCGATTCTCCCGTAAAAACCAAATTAGTACACAAGTGGGTATACTTGTCGAGTTCATAAAGCGTGTTAGCCTTCCTAGATTCTCACCTACACAAAGTTACTTGTGTGTAGGATGTAAACACAATCGTAGTCTGGGCTGTCGAAGAGTTTTTAGCAGCCTTGTGAGTAGTTTCCTTTATAAAACTATTCAGCGATATCTCGAATATCATACCAACTGAAACATGAGGCGGCCTGTGTGTAACACATTCAGTTGAAGAACATCATAAACGAGGGATTCACTTGAGTCTTTCCTGAAAAACAAATTGATTTGCGCATGAGCATATTTGTTGCAATCAGTTCAATTTGGGTTTAAGTAGAACGTAAGTTTGACGGAAATTCGGGGACTGCGCCCAAATGATGAGCCTGGATTAGCGCGAAAGCGGTCGTGGATTGTCGAAGAGTTTTCAGCAACCTTCTGAGTAGTTTCGTTTATGAAAATCTACTGTGTTCTCTCGAATATCGTACCAACAGGCAGCTTTTGTGCGGCACGTAAACGGGGGATTTAGCTGGGTTTCAGGTCAGTCTCTCGTGAGAACCAAATTCACGTGCGAATGAGTATATTCATCAAAAAGTGCTAAATGTTGGTTTTTTTATTTGAAAGCTGTATAGAAAGCCATACTATTTTTTACACTACATGAGAAAAAAGCGAAAATCTTTTCGGGACAAAGACCACGTAGGTTTGCCATGAAGTGACCTCAAATAGCTAATTCAAGAAGATAAGCAGATGCTGTCTTGCTCATATCTAGCGGGTCCGTTGAAGGCGAATTCTAATTGGGACCCCCCTTCAAAAAAGACGACCGCTTTGGATGTCGTTCAGGGAGCATGTATTACATTGCATGAGTTGTGCGTGCGTCTCGGGTCAAGTCGATTGAAGCGGCAAAGCGCGAATCCTCGACAGAGGAGGAATGACGTTAATGAACATCAAAAATAGATACTTCCAAGTAAAACAACATGTTTTTGTTTGTGGACAGTAACACTCACCTGATAGTTTAGAGTCTTTTGAACATCGATGAACAGAATGTGGATGACGATAGGATTGGTCTCTGGAGGATCTATCTAGAAAATGACGTTGAGCAGGAAAGTATCGCCCACGACTGGAAGACACTTCTTTTTGAACGGAGTCAGTCATGTGTAGGATCAGCCCCGGCTTCCAGCACAACCGCAAAGTCAACCGCAATAGGGTTGAGACACAGCAGGCATCCGCTGAGGGCAGTAGTTGTGAACAATGTTCAAGAGCTCCTCGCCTTTGGTACTCGGTGAAATTTCACTGGTATCACGCAGCGATGTCACAGGACGACTGTCAACGATGATGTGTTTCATCAAATTGTTTGGGACATTCTGTGTAAAATTTGAAAAGGAAGAGTGTGAAAGCGAAGGACAAAAGGAGGGGAAGAAGCTACAAAGACAACTTCCCTCACCGAAGATAGTTTGACCCTTTGAGGAGAGGTGAGATACGCTCCCCATACGCCTACGTTACGAGGCACTAAAACCGCTACAAGTGTGGTGGAACAGTCCCAATAGGTGCGAAACGGAAAATTCTCAAGGACGACTGGATAGCAGCGAAACATTGAAACCATCACCAGTAATCTCGGCCGCAATGCAAATTCTTATATATTCGAATGGGGATCCCGAGGCAAGCCATATTAGTGAACAGTCACGCTGGCAGACACGGCACTGTCGCGTGCTCAGTGGTGCTTCTGCCCTCAACACAAATTCGTTTTCATCACCCCCCCCCCCTCTGGCGGGATATGCCCCAACGAAGCCGTAAGTGTTTTGAAATGTTGCCCTCAGGTTTCCGCCCATTGTTTAGCGGTGAACTAGACTATGGAGTCCGTGTACAGCTTCAACGTGGTTTATGGCTGGTGTAGGTGAGGATGCTCGATGATGCTTCTGAGGTGACGGACTATACGTGGAAGGAATTCGCCTTAAAAGTTCGCCGATTTAAAATATAACTAAACCACCATCGGAGAAGCATACAGCCGACTCAGACTGAACTAGACAATGCTTTTTAATAACGCATGAACGCGCCAAATGCTGCGTTTCCACACTACGACGTTTTGGCGCTCGAACTCATCTGGATTCCAGGTGAGTCTCCGGCAAAACCAAATTGGTTTGCAAATGAGTGTATTTCGCTGACTCAAACTCTACTTTAACCGTTGTGTGTTTCCAAACGTTGTCATTCATTGTTTTGCAATGAAATTCAAGGTTATATCGACCGCCTCCATACGAAAACTTCATCTTTTAAAACTACCTGTACTTGAGGCGTAAAAGACAGTCTATTTCTGGTAATGTTTTGGAATATTGGTAGCTCGGGTGTATTGGTTGGTAATTGATCAGGTCGCTGTTGATCTGTTCGCCGAGCTTGGCAATTGATTTGCAAACGTTTCGTCACCATTCGAGGAGACATCTTCAGTGCGCTGTTGGTTGGGTCCCAACCAACAAACCAGTTCTCAATGGAGGTTTCATCCTGTAAGTGCAGCCAGCCTAGGTGGAAAAACCGAGCAGTATTGTACAGCTATTTTATCTAGATTGGGAGCCATCAGTAATACGCTTCTTACAAATCCCCATGCGGACTCAGACTCGCCACCAATCAGCAATGTGACGAAACATGACGCATAAGGAAACTACTCACAAGGTTGCTGAAAAACCTTCGACAGACCACGACCAGTTCCGCCCTTCTTGGGGCTCATCAGGTAGGCGCAATCCCCGAGTTTCCGTCAACCTTACGTTCTACTTGAAACCACATTGCATGAGGCTTTTATGTGAGAAGTCCTCACTCGAGGATCCCACCAATCAACACGTGACTACGTGATGTTGATCCCATGAGTGGAGGATGAGTGGCGCTAAATCCAGTCCAAGTGAGAACTAACCCTGCTACTATTCATCCTTGTTTCATCATGGGATTCGCATCACGTGTTCACGCATTGACTGGCTTCTCGAGTGAGTACTCCTCAGCTGGAAGGTTCACTCGCCATGTGATCTATTCTTCCTTTTGAGCCACTTATGTACTACCAAGTTCGCTTGTTTTCCTGAGGATGTGTTGAAGAAGACGTACGGCATCGTCGCGCGACTGGAGAATAATCTCTCGCAGAAAAAAAAACAGTCCGGCGCTTGTGGCTGCGATTTTCCGGCCAAGTGATGAGAAAAACGCAGCCGGACGAACGATTTTCGTCTCTACTAGGACTCATCTGGTGCTCACTCTTGCAGAAGCAGTTCATACGGGTAATTTTGCAGTATGAATAAAGTTCGCTCAAGATAGACACCAACTATAAGGCAGTAACAGTATCATGCACCAGTCACACGTATCACCAAAACAGGACCAGTTTTCTGGCCCGCGGTTATGTGATGTACACTCATCTATGTGAAAATAAGGTTGCGGATAGTGAGTGGAGTAACGTAAGAGATGTTTGACAATGGATCTGCCGATGAAGAAAAAATCGTTCATCTGTAACACCCTTCCGGTACCTAGCGGAAGCTGGAGGGCTGGGATACCGTCAGGTTACCCAAGCCTAGACAGGAAAAGTCGAGATGCAGAAGTCGGGTTCGAACCACGGAACCTCCGATCAGCTCTAGCCACTAAGCCATCTCGCCCCGATAAAGAAACACCTGCGTCGAATGACCAGCTCACACAAAGGCGCTTTGGGAACAAGAGACAGTGATGGGTTGTGTGTCAGAAGAAGAACGTGCACCGAACCACAGGGAAGGCACTGTAGAGGCACCCTATATCATCCAAAGGCGGACAGATTGGAAGCTAGAATGAGTGTCCTTACCTGGGGAGATCTTACTTACATAGCGAAGAGACTACATACAGAGTACAATCACTCGCTAACAAAACTCTGACGTCTCCATTGTTCCCCGATTGGCTGTGCTATCAAAACGCCCTGTCTAGATATGACTACTTTCTGCTCTAGAAGTGGAACGGCGTCTTGTTATTCACACCGCAGACCGAACACATGACATACAGACATCCAGAAAGACATGAATGAATTTGGCCGAACCAGACCGTGGTTGTGATAAGTCTACTGGGGGGGGGGATAGTTTTCTCAACAAAGAATAAGTCAGCTTATCGCAAGCCTTTCAAATGCAGAGGACGACTATAAGGCGGGCGTTTTGAGATAACATCCCGGTCCGAAACTCGATTCCAAGCGTCAATTTGACTAAGCCCTCTTCTTCAGTTGATATGTCACGCTATCATTATGGGTTTTTACCTTCCGACAAATGAAATTCAGTGTTGCTCATTGATTGCATGCACAGTAAAGTATTCCATTTAACCCGTTTTCCAGGAAATGCTTTAATACTGGTCCAGTAAGATTGTTTGCACACCTGACCAACACATCGGCAACCACGTGATCCAATTGAAATTCAGGTTCAAAGTATCCGCGTTCCGACTATAATGCCGCTTTTGAAAAAGTCGGATGTCAGATTCACGAGGGAATAAAGCGTTCAATATGTAAGAGGGAGAACCAGAGTGTAGTCAAGTGTTTGGAAGGCTGATTTTGTTCCATTGTGTGCTTTTACGTATTATGGTTCGGCTACATTTTGGTTCGCTGACTGAACACCATTAATTACTTTCCCACAATGCCACGATCGAATTGATCTAATGTTAACACTACTATAACGACCGTTCGATTTAGTTACTCATGAGTAGAAGGAGTGAATCGTGAAAATGCTCACTCACCTTGACATACAGCCACCTAACGGGGATCTCGCCGCGGAACCGAGCATCTTGCCAAATGGAACAGCGCTTCTGAGGGTTAACTGGACCAATCATCTCGGCTACCCCACTCAGGTAACCCGAAGATCGGACGGAAAAGAAGAGGATAATATGACCTGGCATATGACTCAGTGGACCGGTGAGGATCTGTAAGAGGAAAACGAGATTGTGGGTCTGGCAATAGGTCGAAGCATTGTTAGAGCGGGTGCGTTTTATTTGCTCTTAATGAGATGGCTGTCGATCTGTCCGTATGGCAGCTGGCATTCAGATGTCACAACAACAATTATGGAGATATTATCAGTTTACAGTTTGATCGGGTAGGGGCACTGATGACGCGAAACGTTTGCAAGCCACCTAACAAGCTGAGCTCAACGGCCGCGCGCGCGATCAAGAACCAGGTTGTACGTATGGATGTATTGGAGTACAGCACATCGGAAAACGAATCAGCAAATGACATTCCGAGATCAGCATTTACTAGTGGCGCTCAGACACATCTGAACAGTGGATTAATGCACCTTTTGGAAGAACTTCAGGGGCGATTATTCGCAAGATCAGGGTCATAGAACACCACAATCCAGAAATGAGACATCCAGAAGGGCGCCACCCTTCTGAGTAGTAGAAAACAGACTCCCTGCTGGTGGAACCTGTCGTAGGATGAACCTCAAAGGGAGCCTAAACCCCATTTCATCACACTCTCGTTAGAGTTTTTGGTGCTCTAAGAATAAAATAACGGACGTCGGGCCGAAAAAACCAGGCGGAGAGTGTATAGTCGGGTTTCCACTACCTGATCGTGTTTACCTCCCAGGGCACCGGCCTACTTCACCCGGTATACAACCGAGAAAGTTGAGAAAGTGAATCCCTTTTGTGATGTTAACAGAAAAGTTCTGCAAGAAATTGGGATAGGAACCTGAGTACCACCACCTGGGCATTTATGTAAATTACACAGATGGTAGGAATTTTAGAACTGACGATGTCGTGACATGAAAATCGACATCTGGAATCACATTTTCCATCCCAGCGCATACGATGCTGACTATTCTATTAGGCCGCGTGTGCTGAAAGATAATTTCAACCGGACAGAATACGTTTGAGCACCGACCAGTTGTTTTATCAGTAGTATATCACACTTGTGTATGCGTAGGCATTACGATAATCGTTACGGGTCACAATAGGCGAATTAAATGTGTCCTACACACCACATATCTGGACATGGGACTATCGATTTTCATGCGCGTACACACACACACATGAAAGTGATACGATGCATGAAAAAGGCGTTATCCACAGGTTTCAGCGACAGTACAAAGCTGGTAGGACATTGTGAACAGTCAGGGAGAAGGCGTATACGGAAACTGCGGCATCAAGTAAGTATGAAGGAACGGAAAAACAGTCGAAAGATCAATAATAGTTGTGATCACACAGAAAAAACGAAGGTTTCAGGGCAATAACTGAGCAATGAAAATACGACACGGTAATGGAGAGACTAGAGCTTACTGTGGTGTGACCAAATCTCTAAGCTGCGCCAGCCACTAAAACTATACCATACATACCAAATCTTCACACTGCGTCAGGTGCTAGAACAACGCCATACGTATAAGCGACCCACAGTTCTAGTATTCCTGGAATTCTAAGGCACAATCGATTCGGTTGACCGCTTGACACGCTTGCCCATCAAGGGATACCCCGGGAGTTTGTGAACACAATACGCTTTGCATTCTCAGACTTCCGGACGTGTGAACTCTCCAAAAGCTCGCGTACACAAAGCGGTGTCCGTCAGGAATACCCACTCGTCCCATTCCCGTTTCGCTTGGTGATCAATAAAATCATGAGAGGAACATTGGAAGGTCTCCAAAACCCCGGTATTCAAATAGCCTATGACGAAAACCTTGTCGATTTGGAGTACGCAGACGATGTCGGTCTCGTCTTCGAAGAGGAGAAGGCGCAGGTGCTTTTTGATGAACTGTCTAAAGTCATCGCGTCCTTTGGTATGCGCTTTGCACCCACAAAGTGTGGGTCATGCTACTGGACATTCAGTCACTGAACGCGCCACTTACAATTCCGGGGAAGACACTGGAAGTTGTGCATTGTTCTACGTACTTCAGAAGTTGTATTAGTTCTGGTTGAGGGTACCAGTGAGGGCTGTTTTGTTGTATGACTGTGAGATCTGGCCGGTTCGACCAGAGGAACTGAGATGTCTTCAGGTATTCGACAACCGTTGTCTCAGATCCATAGCTTGTGTGTCGGCAGTTAGAAAGCCAGTGTTCAGTTGTGCAACAGGGAGTTCTGTCGAATAATGTGTCCAGCACCAATAGTTGCATTGGTTAGGTCATGTATTGCGCATTGCGAAACCACCGTTTTTTGAAGAGAGTGCTGTTTGGCGTCCCCAATTCGTATTGGTGAAAGCAGAGAGGTGGTTAATCCTAGACCTGGCAGATGGATATAAATGAGATTACGAAAAGTCTGAATGCTGTCGGTGCGACTCACCTTCCAGATTGGAGACCAACCCCAGCACTTCAACTGCTCGTGTCTGAACTTGAGCAACCTGGCAGTAGATCAGCCCTCGTGCCTCCCTTCGGGTGGCATGGCAACTAGGCAACAGACTTCTGTGTTCTGTTGTGCGAACCCATCATTGAATGGTTCTGTCGAGTCACCTCGCCCATGGAGTACGGGCTTGCACATTTGGTTGAGGAAATTGAGGCAACAGGTAACTGTCAGGATACTGGAAGCATTACACTACCACTTTGTTTTGAGACGAGAAATTATTCTGTTGAAGACACTGCGTGTCAAGTGTGAAACAATGGGTACAGGGTTTAAGGACTTAATCACGAAGAGACAGAACCTTACCGTGGTGTGTACCTCAAAGATCTACTGAGCGACACTCACAGAGTCTCATACCAGGTTGGCCAATGGTGAGATATTTGACAAACACAGTCTCCTGGTCCTCCAGGCTGGGAGTTGGAACATGTGCAGCGACGTGTTTCGTGAAATGTATCTGCATTTCCAGCCAAACACTGCTGTCTTGGGTCAGAGGCTTTGGTTGAAGACCCTAATCATCCTCCTGTCTTAGTGTAGGAGCTCTGACAGTATCCCAGCCCACGTACAACCATGAACAGCATATATACGGATAAACACAAGACACATCGACCGCTGCGCGGTGCCATCAGCCGGGTCGCCTTACTTGTTGCATTTAGCAGGGCGGGTATGCGAAAACAGGATATTGCTGACGCCTCCCTCCTTTCTCTTCCACATACTTTTTCTTACCCCTCTCACCACTACATTAATAACTTTCCTCTTGTAGGCCCAGTACCTAGGACTGATGACTCCGTTTGTCCGTCCTGTAACGGTTTCGCAAGCAATATCTGCGTGTCACCTGGCGCCGACATCCTCAGGCATCTCGAAATCAACCTATGAGCCTCAACGCCCAGTGTGTCTGACCACCTTCATTGTCCGCAATCTGAACCAAGCATGTCAACAAGTTGCTCTTGGTCTCACACCGGAGTCGCTTGGCATTGTGTGCTGTGCAGCAGAAATAAGAATTCAAGATGCAAGCACAGTGGTTGAACTAACCGCCCAACTCGCTTCCGGCTGCGCACCCCTGACGTTCCAGAGACTGCTGCGGCGGGGTGTGCAGGGGTTAGTATCGCCTGAAGTCACCGGGCGAGTGGGTCCTTGATTGTCTGGATACCTGGTGAGAGTCGCCTCTGCGCGGTTCGTTTGGTAACGTCTAGGGAGGAACCTTACAAGGGAGAGTTGATTGACGTTTGTTTGTGTGTCTGCTTACGCCATAACTGGCTGCAGTTCTGACACCATCAAAGACAAGTTTTATGGGCCATGCATTGCCCTGTTGATGATGATGATTGGGGACAAGCCCCAAACAATGGAATGGGACTTACCCGAGGGGCAGAAGCGGGCATCACCAAATCTCGATCACAGTATGTATCTGAAGGCGTGTTGGTGGATTTTGGCACTTGGACAGAATGGAAGGCGTCATCCAGACATTGGTTGCCGGCACGTGTTGAACACCAGACGCCGTGTCGAATGGACTGGTGCACGTTATATACACAATCCGACTTGATCACAAAATATCGCGTGCGGACAAGAAGGGATCGGTCCAATTCTGGGGGATTCACACTGAATGAAAAGATAGGGCGGACAAATGAATAAAGGAGCTTGAAACACAAACGATATGTAACCATATTTGGCGCCCGCAAAAACGCAAGAAGTAAAAATGTCAACTAACTGAAGAAAACGGAACCGTTCGGCCGTGAAATCATAGCTGTCATGCAGCACGAGGTTTGAGGTAGTGCGAGGTCATCGGGGTCGATGCTAGACAAGTACGTACTAGAGTCAATAACGGGTACTTTTGAACAATGCGTTCATCAGTGTCAACAAACCAGAGTAATTAGGCATGTTGTAACCAAATCTAACAAAGCGTCAGGATGGTTTTGCGACAGACTGCATTACTCACGAAACGAACTCGGCAATAGTGACTGCTTGGACGGTTGCCAACAACCCCGACCTAGGAACGAACAGCCTTGGATTATAGAAAATCGTTCACTTTACAGACAGGATGGGGGGAATCTACAAAGCCGATTTTGTGAAAGCTCCATGAAGAATGCACACCGTTTATTGGCTAAAATGTCCGTGATATGCACTTCTTGCCTAAGGATGTCAGAGCTTCTTCGAAAGCTTAGTTGGGCTAAGCCACATCGCGGCCCTCTTCAACCGGTACAGTCTTCTAGGAGGAATCAATATCCTTACTCAACTGTCTGATAAGAACCAGCAAGGAAACTAGTCATCATTGGCATGCAGATAGATAGCACATTTATACGGGACTTGAACACACATCTGGACGCTTACCTTATGCAACGATTTACCCAAGGGTCGTCCGCAAACTAGTCACGAGAGACGACAGGTCCGTGAAAACTGTGAGTCAAAGCATGCTCACGATGTGTTTCAATCCAGGCTACTGTGTACATGCTTGTCATGTCGCTTAGTTGCATCGTGCCATAGAGCACGGAGATATCAAGAGGATCCGGTCAGGTGCCAAAGCTGCTCGGTAAGCGCCAGCTTACGAAGCGGAATATCCAACCTCTGCATCTCGACTGCTCCTGTCTAGACTTAGGCAAACTGGCATTATTACAGCCCTCGTGCCCCGTTCCGTTGGCATGGCGGGTAGACACCGAAAGGGTGCTACAGCTGAACGGTTGGTTTTACGATTCGGCGTAAACCAAAGCCTGGTTATCAACTTTATGGAACACGCAGGACGTGTAACATGACCTCCAGTGTAAGCGCTGGGACTGTTGTCGAAGCCAGCCGATCAGCATTGCGTGCTTTAGTTTTATACGGCTACACTTGTTTAAGTGAACGGTTCTCGCGGAAGACCGTTCACCGGTAGCACCCTTTCGATGCCTCGCTGCCATTCCACACGGAAGAGGCACGAGGGATGGGATAATGCCAGGTCGCCCAAGCCTAGACAGGGGAAGTCGAGATGCAGAGGTCGGGTTCGAACCACGGACCTACCGGTTAGTAAAGTCGCGCTCTAACCACTTGGTCCATCTCGCCCCCGGAAGGCAAGCTGGAAGCGAGTACTAGGAAGGTGACTTTCTAGTTTCAACTTTCCCATCGGTGTCTTGGGAGCGTTGCCAGCATCGGACAGCGTCGAAGAATTTGTGACGAAGCAACTAGAAAGCGAGTCTTCGGTTTTTCAGCAGGCACATCGGTCACGAAGAACAATCACGTTCGACTACGGTTGCTTGGTTATGCGCTACCCATTTCATTCAGCTGTAACACCCTTACGGTGTCTACCTGCCATGCCAACCGAAAGAAGCATAAGGGTTGGGATACATCCAGGTTACCCTAAGCCTAGATAGCGGAAGTCGAGATGCTGAGGTCGAGTTCAAACAACGGTCAGTAAATTCGCGCTCTAACCACTTGGGCCATCTCACCCCGCACCCCGACTCCCGAATTATCATCTAATGAGATAGGTGTTGACCTCCTTGGTTTCTTCAGAACGGAGCAAACTGTGGGTGTGAGATTTCGAGAAGCTGGATGTCGTCGACGACCGGATTTCTCTCCGGCTGGCTTAAGACGTTCCAAGAAATGGCGTCTAACCAATATCACTGGTGTTGGTGCTACCTGTTTCTTTCCAGACTAACTGAGCGTTTGAAGGTTTACGTACATGGAAATGGAAGGGAGCCAGCACTAGGCCCCTTCTTCATTCGCTCTTTGTTTTTTTTCGCTTTGGAGGCTCAAGCCAAACTGTGGCTGTTGTTCTCTTCCTCTGCTGGTGATGATCTTTCGACTCCTCATAAGCAGCGCTGACAGCAACACCAGATGAGAACGCTCAAGTCCCATTGCCATACAGTCATTTCAATGTATTTCAATAATGGAACGAAGAAAGAATGGGGACAGGAGGGAGAACTTGGAGCTAGCCTACCACAAACACCCGGGGGTGGAGCAAAAACAGCACCATTATTCGGACAATCGGGATTGATACTGACAACATCATCATTATCATCAGCTGTAACAACCGCGTACTCGTCGTGTGGGTGCCCTAGTTTCGTTCCCCGATGATTTCGGAGGGGGGGGGGTAGGTAGCTGCGAGCTGGTAAATTGGTACATAAATCCAGCACTGACAACATGAACGCCACTGACATTGGGTTGACTGTCAACCGAACAAAAAGTTGGTCACGTGGACCTCATCCTGTAGAGCAACTAGCACTCAGACGTTTCGTCATACCCTTCATTTCTATGTCCAACTTTGTCCAATTCTGCAACTTTGAATTAGGCACGGAAAACGGCGCTCGTCTCGGTAGGCGGTAACTGGGCAAGCATATGGCCCAGCCACCTTAGGTTGCATTGATGAATGCATCCTTTGAGTGAATTAACGTATACTTCATCAAAACCCCGTCCGTGATCATATTATCGCTGGTTACACGCAATTCGAGTCATAGTTCCGAGACACCGGTGGTCAAATACCTGAAGATGTCTCAGATCATTCCCCGAAGTGTGAACTTTCGGCAGCAGTACAATACAGACGCAGCGTAGTCCGATGTACGTTTGAGATCGAATTAGTATACCTTTTCGATGCCACAAGTGGGGCAAATTGGCAAACGCAATTCTCGCCTACGAGATTCTGTCAATGTACCTTCCGAGAAAGATATAATGTTCCAATAGCCCTCGAATCAATTAGGTAGCGGCTCATCTCACATCATCCCTAGTAGGATCGATGAATTCGACTTTCACGGTCAAAAAAACAACATTGTGTTAGGTGACTAGTACTAAAGTGAAGTTAAATGGAAAAAGTCAGCTAAACGAAACGATTTGCGAAATCGCACACCAGGCCGTCCTGGATAGAGCGGTCGATAACGGACATGTTTTCAACACACAGACTGTAGTAGTCATCATGGAGTGCGCGACAAAGAGGTATTCGTCCAAACCCCGGGGAACATCGAGAGTTTTCCTGTCGCTCGCATCCGATTTTTTCTCAGTTCTCTGCTTAAACTGACAAATCAGTACACATGATAAGATTGACATGGAAGTAAGGTCATCCTTCGGATCGGTTACCGGAACGCTTAGAATGCCAGATCAAATCTGAATTGGAAAGGAAAGAACGAGCACCCTAAAACCACTTTTCCTGTTTGTTGGAACAATGCGATCCCACGAATCGCCTGCCACGTCGTCTGAGACAAAAGCCAGACGTTTAAACAACAGGCGCTAAACTGAGACCTGACGGTTTGTCCCGAGTTAACCGCCCTAGAAGGACGGAGAGAGAAAAACAACGAGCGGCGGAAAAGAGTCCTTCGATGAAAGTACACGGTGTATCGGAATGCAACAAACTGTATATTGTCAGGAAATAGTGCTTCGCACCGTATATTCAATATATTCCGGGCAAAATAGCTTTTGATATGCGGACATGTGCGAATCGATGAAATGTG